CAGACATTTTGGGATATGATAAAAGCATCATGGCCTGAATTTGGATAAGCTAGAACCTGTTTTCCATCAACAACCGAAGAGATAAGTCCACACTTAATAAAAAAAAGTCATATGTCTCGTACTTTGATGAAAGATGGTTGAGCCCTGTAATCTCTGTCTAGAGAAACCCAGCAAGGATATCACTGGTTTGTGGTAGAGTTACATGTATGACCAGTTATAGTTGCTTCTGTATTAACTACTAAAAGTGCTTCCAATTAATATGTAATACTCGTGGTCATGTGGTCATCCTCGCTGTAAACCCAGTAATCTGACCTTTGTGCTTACATTAGCTGTATTTCCAACAGACACAAACAAATTATGCAAAGCTTTTTTTGTTTTATTTGTCTCATATCTCAGACCGGTTTCTAAATATATGGATGCGGACAGGTAAACACTGCGTTCATTGAATTTGCAGCACGAAAACACTTCACAGCAAAAGCAAACTGCGTCACCGCTCAACAGTTCTGCAGCGCTCCTCACAGGGCACCTTGTTTATAAGGAGATTAAGACATAAAACGAGTTTCTGCCGTTATCTAATGCTGTGGATATTACAATAAACACTCGGGCTTTTATCCTCATAATAATGCAGCGCTTTTATTTATGTACAGTATGTGTCGGCGGGACGTAATATCCAAACCGAGCCGCATGGAAGCATCTGCAGTGCTTTCCGGGTGCAATGTGAAGATATCAGGCTCAGTCGGTTTGTCCTTTCAAGATATCTGGAGACAAAAAGAGGGTTTTAAATTTGAATCAAATTCAGTGTATGAAGAGTAAATTCAGTCTTAAAGGCAAAACTGACATTTTTGTTTCACTGAGCAGGGTCTTGGTTTTCGGGTTGGTTTTTAATAACTGTGATGCTCTGTGAAATGCTCTGTCATTGTGGAGCCCAAATGTACGAAGAAACTGAAACCTGGACTAAATTCAAAGGCTGGCTGAACATGAGGATGTAATTTCGACGGTTTTGGATCAACGCTGAAAAACCATAAGAAACTTTTTTCTCAGCTAAATCTGAACCGTCTTGTTTGTCTTGGCTTTAGAAACCAATCGGTGATTTCTTTCAGTGAGTAAATCCTTTGTTATTGACTAAAGGAGGCATTCATCTTAAAACTTAATCTTGTTCGGTTGCACAGAGACGGAAGAGTCTCGCAGGTGTTTAGGCCTCAGAAATACGTGAGCTTCGACAGAAAAGCACTTTCTCACAATGTGGCCGCTTACGTAAGAGGTCTTATTAATCTAAAACTCAGTCCCAACAATTGTTTTCTTTTGTTTGAGTCTAGTTCTTTTCTTTGATGTGTTGAGTTCAAAACTGATCTGAGCAACTCTGGTCAGCAGTTGTGTGAGCTACTCTCTCTGGCATTCAGAAATGTTTTACATGTAGCCCTGGTGAGTTTTCTAGCTCCGAGGCGATTGTAATTAAAATGTTCTCCTCTCACCTCATCCTGTGTGTTATCTAATGTCCCCACACAAACTGTTGGTAACCTCCCCAGCAGCTTTGTAAAATCTGCTCATTTGCCGCGCTGAATCACAACAAATTATCACTGCAGTTATTACCTCAGGTCACTTTAGCATCCTTAGGAATGCCTAGCAGTGCAAAGTTTAAAGAAGTGATGCAGCTGTTTGCTCACGACAGGACCTGGATGATGAGGCTGGATAATCTGAGGACCTTTCTGTTTAGTGTAAACGTCCATGATTTTCTGCGTCAAAGGCTGAAATTCCGCCTTGGTAATCTTCTGTCTTTGTATGTGACATTTTTCTTGGTTTTCTTCTGAGTATTTAGTTTAGAGCATATATAACTCAGTGCTGTGCATCAGTGCAGCTCGACACAATTGTCAAGTCTAACCAAATAAATTATTTTAATTCATAGATTGAGGAAATGGGTTACAGAGTGCCCAGATTTCCTCCAGCCTCCTTTGGTGCTTATTTGCTCTGCTTGATTGAATGCGGTGGCCTGCGGGATCAATTGGCAGGCTGATCATGTTCTTTTTCTGTCTACTAACCTGTGGGAATATTACTCTTTGGCTTTTGTGGTAACACCAAGCTGTTGCTAATTAATTTGTCCCTCATAAATATATCAGTGTCATACAGCTTCCGGTCATCACTGGCAGTTGGTGCGATAGTATCTAGGATAGCTGCGTCTCAGATATCTGAACACCCCGTGAGCTAATGTTCAGCTTCAAATGCTTGTGCTGGCCTCTCCTGACGCTCCCTGGGCCTCTCCGGGTTTGGAACATCTTGTGCTTCAGGCACATAATCTGACAAAATCAGTGTAATGAAATTACTCCTGAAAATATATTTTTGGACATCAGTCACAATTTTGATTTAATCTACCTGTGAAAGAAATAGCTCAACATTTTTGGGTAATAAGTTTTTCGTCCTTCTAGCTGGGGAAAGACAGACTGTCTGTACAGTTGATAAGTACCTAGGAGCCGGTTTTAGCTTAAACTCTGCGTATAATGAATTGTTGTTTTAATTATCAAAGAAAAATGTGATAGCTCCAAAGCTTTGTGCCTGTGTGCTAAATAGCCAAATCATTTGTTATATTGTTTCATAAACATTTTAATTTCATTCATTTAATTTCCCTTAATAATTTCTATATTTGTCAACATTTTTTTTTCAGTTTTACGTTAACGTGATTTTTAAAGAAACATGCAAATTGTAGCTAAAAGAAACAATGCGCCGACTGTAAAATCTGGGCTAACAGCAGACAACAACTTTAGCTGATAGATGATAGGAGGTGCTGATATGATTTTTGTCATTTAGTCCTCTGCTGTGCAAAAGTCAAGAAGAATATTGTTTTAAAGAATTTCTGCCCTTCATGACACTACTGCTGAACATTTATCCAGCAAAAAATAACCAATTTACATCACAGAAAATCATGTTTCTGTCAATATGAGTCGACAATAACAATCGGCACACACTAACATTGGACGTATATGTGATGCAGCATGCAAAAAGCCGGTCAAAGATACGGACCATGAATCCCAGCAACGACGCAATCAAGAACAACTGGACTTCACGAATATTTCAAATATTTATTGTAGCGTCACTGCTTGCAAATGCTTCTTAAAGCTATGCCCCCAAAATACAGTTTAACAGTTTGTGATGCATAAACTGCAAATAAACACCTCATCCAGCCAACGTTTTAGCCATGACGCGAAACCCCCTGCTCAGCGCAGACACAACGCCCAAGGGTGTGACTTTCACATCGTTAGCCTACAGTGATCAATGGTTTCGCATGATGCTAGCACAGATTTTATCAGAAGTTAACAAATGTGCTACAAGTGACTATTAATTTTCATTCTTACTATATTGCAATAACTCCAACGCACAGTCTGACAACTTCAAATCACAATCTCATCATAAAAGGTAGATAAATGAAACCAGTTTGCTGTCACATGCTGCATCACATATGTGTGTGTGTGCATCCTTAGCTACAATTGGATGTGTGATTGCTCCTTTTGGATCACCTTTTTCCCCTCCTTTCTTTCACACATTTGTTGTTATGCAACTTTTTAAAGTGACAGTCCCTAACCTCTGCTACTGTGCACTGGTGTTCTTGGTTAAACTGCTGGTATCCCTCCTCACAATGATAAAGTAAACTGACGAAAAAACCCCCACATCTTTTCTATAAAGAGTACCCCAAATAAACCACTGACATCTGTTTTTAAAATATTGTGGCTATAGGGTGATTTAAAAAAAATAAAAGAAGAAGAAAAGAATTTGACACCAAGGAAATTTTTTAACATTCAGTAAACATCTTTCGTAAGGGTCACTATATTGAGGTAATTACAGATATGAATTTTCAGAAAAAGAGCACACATGAGAACTTGGAAGATAAGATGAAGGACACAAGCTTTCATGTGCCATTAAAGCAAATAGTGTATGTAAAGGGTGCTTTTTAAAGGAAAACAATGTCTTCATTAAAATATATTTATATATGTATGTACGTGATATGATTTACTACTACTGGCATGTCAGTGGACATTTCTAATCCTTGTATTCACAGGCAACTTTGCAGATCTAAGAGCGGTAACAAATGCCAGCGCCCCTCTCACAAAGCTGCACAAATGACATCAGTAACCTCATGTCTCAATATGCCAAATAAATAGGTACCGGTAAGTGGATTTTCAATGGGAGTTTTGTTAAAAAGACAAAAGAAGAAAAAGGAACAAATGAAATAAAGAAGTACACTGAAGAATGTTGGAGCAGCATTCGCAACAATATGAAGAAAGTGAAACGGACAAACTGAACACAGAGGATTATGGTGGATGGTCATAACAGTCAAAGAAAGTGAAAAGTCTCAAATTACTCTATCTGCGAAACACATCTTAGGACACACAAGTAGAAACGTCTGGTATTTACATTTTTTTTCCTATTCAGTGTGCATCTATGTCACAACATTTTCCAGAAGTCCACAACATACAGTAAATTCAGGGTTTCACCTTTGGTTAATGTAATTATCAAGGCTAGGTTTAAAAAAATATAGAACACACGTCCATGTTACTTTTGCATACAGGTAAATTCAAAGTGAAAACATATCAACAAAGCAGCTGGTCAGCTCTAAATTTGCATCGGAGAAAAGAAACGTAAGGTATTTCGTCTTTACGTCAATGATTCTCGAGCAGTGAGAGCCCGGCGAGTTTCGTCTGCTGTGATAGAAAGTGAGTGTGGCTGATATTTATGATGGGTGTTTATGTGCCTGACATCTTTGCTTTAGTGTAAGTGGATCTTAATGTAAGAGGATAATCTTCTGATGTATTTCAGTGTGTTGCATTGAGCCAGTCAATATATGTCTCGTATTTCTCTCCCAACCCTATACACTTTCCGGACGAGGATTTCCATGTGTTATGACACAATGTGTCGTAGATCGTTATTTAATTTTTTTTTTGCCAACAGATAAGCGAGCAACTCAGGCCAGCCTTGTGTGGTTGACAATATGAAACGAGATTTCTTTTTTTAAAAAAAAAAGTCATACTGCTGGCCGCACAGAAGCAGAGCAAACTCACCATTTAGTAACCTATGACACCTACGAAGCCGACCCAACTAAAACATGTCGACGTTACGACCAAACATTATCTCTATCATATTAAAATATTCACATCTGTTCCTTACAAGACACTTTTTTCACATGTAAATAAAACATCTGTATTTTTGAACAAGTCTTCTTAGTTATCTTCACTTCATACATCTTTACATGTGTAGTAATTAAGGCAATCATTTTGGGCCGCGACTCACTCACACGCTAACTCCAGTCTCAGCCTTCGAGGGTTTGTTTACTGATACCATACAGCAGCTCTCTCCTCCAATTGTCCAAACGCCAAGTGTCATCCGGTTGTTGCTTTTCAGTGTCCGCTTGTGCTCAAGATGACCGGTCACAACGTTTTGCTTGTTCTCTGTGATTTCCAGAGATGCGGGCGGGGTGCAGGGATACTCCCTCTCCCTGTAACTGGCAGCGCTGCAACAAAGAGAGAAACAGGAAATCTATAATCATGCTTGACGAAACGGCACCCTCAAGATGGAGCAATTTGCCCAAACACCAAGCTGATATTGTGCATATTTTCCTTTCCCACCCAAAAGTTGGGCAAGATGCACTCACTACAGATAAACATCAGGGTCATTAAGCAGCAGCTCCTTCTGAAGCACTTTGGCAGGGGATACGTCTGAGCTTTGTATAAGACCACATGGGGGTTTAGTTACATAAATAAACCATTTGTTATACACCCCTTAACATGCTTACGTTCATTTATCCTTCAGTAGATTAAGCACTTAAAACAGTTTACTCTGTCTGCCAGTATCATATTCATCCAATGACAGGGGGTTCTGATTTATTGAACTGATACAGTTTATTTACACTGAGTGAAATAACCAGTGGTTTTGTTTTTTGTTTTTTTAATGCTGCACCGTCCCATCAAACCGGGGAAGCCCTAATGTCACAGCACTAGACACACCCATTGTTGTTTGGGTGTACAACTTTTGATAACATCATCCTGCTGGAGAAGGAGACGCACAGATAAGTCCCATCCACACAAGCGCATGACTCGCCTCTGACTTTCAGTTACATACTGTAAGCGTTACCTCGTCAATTCCGGCTGCTAGCAAAACAGGCAGGGCTCGCTCAAACAGGGCAAAGGTTATGTACGCTGAGAAGATGAAAAATCAAGCCTTTCATCAGCAAAACTGTGGCCAATCATAACACTTGTGCATGTCTGCGTGTATGTCCAAATGTCAAGGTTTAGGCTAATAGCTAAAGCATTTTAAAAGTATGCAACTTGTGAAAGCTGTAGATAGTGTTATTGCTCCTGGGTGCCTCCTGGGTGAGGTATGGAAATGTCTCGCCGGGAGGAGGCCCCGGGGAAGATCCAGGACACGCCAGAGAGATTATATCTCTCGGCTGGCCTGAGAACGCCTTGCTGGGGTAAGGAGAGAGAGGTTTGGGCTTCTCTGCTTAGGCTGATGCCCCCGCGACCCGACCCCTGATGGATGGATGGATATTCTTAGTTGTCTCAACAAAAAGGTCTGTCTTCATCCAACAGATAAAACTGATTTCCTTTTATTATATTACTCTCTCTTCTCTTCTTGTCTGTGTACACACACACTGACCGAGTGGCCCCAACTGACCGAGTGCTCAGTGAATACCTCAGGCAGCAGAAACCCAAGAAAGTGGAGGGAGACGAGGAACCATCATGGAAGGACAGACCCCTGCACGGGATGTACCACCGGCAGATAAAGGAGGTGGCTGATATCCAGAAATCCTACCAGTTGCTGGACAAAGCTGGACTGAAAGACAGCACAGAGGCACTAATCATGGCAGCACAAGAACAAGCTCTGAG